AATCAATTGAGTCAGTTGCCATGTCAGTGATGCATCTTAGGCACATTTTCAGAGTGTTTGAGAATGAAAGTCATGTGAATTTCATCAACTACCACATCTGATGGCAATTAATTTCTGAAACAAATGTGTTAGTTGCCATGTCAGTGGTACAGTAATGTTACTGTTTGGTTTTTGTTGGATGCCGTTTTAGGTGCATTTCAAAGTGTTTGAGGATGATTGTCATGGCAATTTTAACAATTGCCACCACTGATGGCAACTGATTTATGAAACAACTGTGTCAGTTGCCATGTCAGATGGAGTGCCTTTTATCTGCCACAACTAGTTGTTTTGTTAACATGGAAACATGAATCTAGCATATGTCTGCCCCTATTTTTGAAGTACCCTTTAGTTAACTGCCACCACTGATGGCAACATGAATCTAGCTGCATTGCAGTTTGACACTTGCAGACGACAACTGAATCATTTAAGAAGCAGAGACATGTGTTGTTGCCATGTATCTGCATTTTTCTGCTCTCCCACTTTGGCTACATTTCTGTCTTTTTAATACGTGTTGCTCCATTTGATGTGTGTTTTTTGTTGCTACTGTAGCACAATGGCTCGCGGCGACCATCAGGACGATAACGATGACTTCATGGAGGTACCGCCACAGAATCGTGCGACCGGTCGGTCAAAAGCTGGTGATGAGGTCACCCCCCACAGGTGTGCTTGTCGTAGTCGCTTCAACGATTGCCACCCCCGACACTAATTCTTCATTGTTTGTGGCATCATCGGCGACCTGCTGTTGTGATGTCCCTCCCGTGTGCTCAAAGGTACCCGAATGAGATGCCCCCGCGCTGCCGTTTAGTGTAGTTGGAGGTCCTGCAGAAAAAAAGAAAAAAAGGCATGCATTTAATCTTTGTTTGAATGGCAGTTTTGTTTCATAACCGAAAAAACCATCTGCATTCGATTTCTGGCATGACATCAATCATAGTGTGCAGAATAATCTGGTTTGTTCACATTTTGGCACCCACAATTTTTTCTATACATGTCAACGACATTTTTTATTATGCATGGCAACCATAGTTGATAGTACATGGCAACCATAGTTGATTGTCCATGGCAAATGCAGTTGATAATACATGGCAACTGCAGTTGATTATCCATGGCTATTGTAGTTCATCAGACATGGCAACCACAGTACATCAGACATGGCAACCACAGTTGATCACACATGGCAAATGCATTTCATTACACATGGCAAATTCATTCATATCATACACGACAAACTACACTTTTTGCGAATACAACACACAAGCAGCAATGTCACATATAATTCCTCTGATGTTGCATTGTCAACAGAATCACTTCATACTACTCACCTGTGTTTGACGTCGATGGCAGGTACCCGATTGCTGACGGTTGCCACGTGCTACATGACGGTCCTGCGTTTCCACCATAAAACTTGTAAGTATTTTCCATCTCTTCAAGTCTTTTTTTCATCTTTTCGGCAAAAGCTGAATGGTTTTATTGATACGTGTTACCTTGATTTGCCACATTGGCTACTTGAAATTGGTCGAACGTACATCCATCAGCGTTAGCGCCCCGTGTTTGAACTTGCCAAGTCACCCCTGAGTTTGACCCTACGAAAAAGTAACATGATAGGACATAAGTACAATACCATTCCCCCACGCCCCCCCATAACATGACAATTGTCCCTTTTTTTGATCATTTACCGTACCCATGCTCACATACTGCTCTAAAAGTGGCAGCAACGGTCCCGCGGAAATGAGTTGATTGTACTCTGATGCATCCCAAGGTTGCATTGCCAGGTTTTGAGAAAACCAATGATCTGCGCCATCTTTCTGATTCATTCTTCCGCCTCTTTTCCCATTGTGTTTTTCAGTCACTGCACAAACAAGAGACACATGAAACTGCATTTTCTGCTGATTTTTTGTACATACAAGAAAAACACGGCAATCCCATCACAATTATTGCGTAGACAACCAATTACATGATGGCAAATATGATATGCACGTTTGTTATCCCATTTTCTAAAATCTGGATGCCAAGTGTCGTTTTTGAACTGATGGCGATGAGAAACACAGTAAGATGGCAACTGACTAAACACCATGGTGGCCACTAACTGCAAAGACAGGTGGCAACCAACGTAAAAATTGAACGGTAACTACTTCTCTCTATTCCGATTGCCACCCAAATCCATCCCATCCATTCCTTCCATGCTTCTAGTGAACACTAGATCCGTGTGGCAATTGCCATATCGTTGTGGATGTAGTTGCCCGCTTCGTGGGCAATCAGAAAGTTCAACTAGTAGGGGTGGAAATAGGACCAGAAAGACAATGAGATCGGAGATCGACCTGCTCCTCTTTTGTCTG